CAAAAGAGAACTTAGCACATGTACAATGGACATCAAATTCAAGTTTCTTTAAGCAGATTGATGCATCTTTGTTTTATAAAAGGCTTGTGTTTTCTGCACTCCATTGCCCCCCAAAGAGGTACAGTTCCAAGGCATCAACCAATCTTAATCTGGTCTGATTATTGTGTGTTTTAGATCCCCAAACTCCCTGTAACACCCCCCACCCCCCCAAAAAAAAACCCTGCTCCCATTTTCCACTGTTCTGCTCTGGAAATAAACAAGCCTAATCAAATGCATTTCCATCCAAGGACATTCAAAACCCACATTCAGGGATGAGTTTTAATGGATGAATACTAGTCTATTCCTTTTCAACTGAACAGCCAGATACCAGTTTCTGTCCTTGGGTGGTGGTGGAGTGGGTTGGCTTTAATTATGGATTTAATTTCATTATTATTATTTTCACTTTCCTTTACTCATTTATTTCATTTCATTTCAATGGCAGCATTTTGTTACAAAGAAAGTATGAGTGGGAATGCATAATTCAAGTTCCTTGCAGGAACGGAAATGTGTGAGTAAACACTATAGGAAATTCTTGGGATGCTTCCAGATTATGGCTTCATTTATCTGGATTTGTTTACAGGGAAAGTAGACAGAGCTGGCGACTTAATTAGTATTCCTTCTCATTTGTATGTGGGGAGGTTACATGATGTTGCATCGGAGCAAGTGTTATCTCATACTTCCGAGCGCATTTCCTCATCACATTCCTTATTGTAACAAGCCCAGTTGTGGGTTGTGCAATACCTACATATCAGCCTTTAATTGCATGACCAGAATTTGCCGGCTTGTGATGGAACCCCATTCCAAAATAGCAACAGTCTAGAAGAGACCTTGGTCATGGAGAAGAAGGTTGCTGTGAAAATGCAACTCTATTTGGAACATATATGGAAGTTGCAAATTTTTGTTTTTTTCTTTATTTTTTTTTTTTTCCGCCCTCCCCTTTCCTTTCTACTCTGCCTTCGATTCTGAGATCCAGGCTTGGGGCAAGTACTCTTTGGTGAGAGAACTCCAGTCGAGATCACAAAATACGCAAGCAAAGTTAAGCATAGAAATTATAAGATGTTGACCTTTAAAATATGATCCTACCGTGATTTCCAAATTGTCCCATGGGGGGGGGGACCTTTCTAAAGTTTCCTTCTTCCCCCAAGAGACCACAAGCTTGGGAAAATAAAACATAGTTTACTTATAAAACTCTTTCAAAGGGCCAGGTTCATGGAACTTCACGAAAATTGCATAGGCAGGAAAACCCTGTCTAGTTAGGAAAGTTAGTGGAATCCTAATTTCACAATGCACCAAAGTGCTTCTGAAATGAAAACAAGCCTTTCTCTTTTTCCTAATTCAAGGTGCTGACCCAATATGATAATAAAATTGCTTGTGCTCCTTGGTTGAGGAGATACAAGATGGTCATGTATAAACGACCCAAGTCCACATTTGTACATGATTTCATTGGCAACGTTGCATTTCATACGGCCTTTGATTGGCACCGTATGGTGCCCATATCGACATCTACACACCAACCCAGGACTGATGGGCCTGCGGGTTGAGTCATGGACATCCCGGCTTTATGATCTCTTGACGCAAGATGATGCACTCATACATGGTGCCCCGCAGACGAAGGCTCGCAAGACCGAAAACTTGCTAAGATGAAAGGGGTTTTCCGTTTTTGAGTCGTTCCGCAAAGACGAATTTCGCCTATGGCTTGCTTCGCACCATACCACACAAAACGCCCAAGGACGGAAAACGTTTGTTTCCTTTTTTCTTAAAGCCGTAAAGCCGTTAAATAGCCGCTAAGCCGTTAATAGCGCTAAGCCCACTAAGCCACTAAGCCACTAAGCCGTAAATAGCCGCTTAAGCGCTAATAGCCGCTAAAGCTGCTAATAGGCGTGCTCACAAGACGAAAAAACCACAAGACGAAGAGACTCGCGGAAACGGATTAATTTCGTCTTGCGAGGCACCACTGTCTATAAAGCAAGCCTCAAAGGCATCACAGGGCGAAAAAAGTGGACAGTAGCATAACCAGTTCTGCACACGAAAGGTCTTTCCCATTGCCCAGCGGCGGACGCAAAGCCAATTCAGGACACCTGGGGCAGCGTACATGCCTGCCGCCCAGTGGTGGGGCCAAATCACCCACAGCGGCAGTGCGCCTTCCACTGGGCCTCCGAGAAGCCTGCCTGCTCCTCCCACTTCAAGGATCTTACAGCTGAGGGGGAGGCGGATTGGCGGATGTTTGGGGCAGTGAGAACTGCGGGCAGTCAAAGCCAATCCATCACTCCCAGAGAGGCACGCGGCTTTGGGCACGCTGCAGGCCCCACAATAGAGGCCGCCTGCCATTTTGTCACCCCAGTTAGTGACACCGGGTGTCCCGCCCCACCGCCCCCTTCCTCCGCCCCCTGCCCATTCCCAAACTCTTAAAGTATATCCATACCTTGGTTTAAAATTGCTTACAGGTTGAGAGTTTTCGGGTTTGGTTCGCGGCGACCCTGGAAGTAACGAACGTTTACTTCGGGGTTTTGCACTCGCACATGCGCCCAGACGCTCAAATGACGTCATGCGCAGAAGTGGGCAAATTGCCGACCTGCAACACATGCAGACACGGGTTGTTCTCTTCAGGATGGCGAACGGGGCCTCCCTGGAACCGGATCCCTGTTTTGCCATCCCCAGAGTAACAACCCTGAGTATGTTTCATGAATTCGATGCAGAAGGGAGGCACAAAACCGAAGTCATGTTCTTCTCACGCCGTTCAGCATGTAAGGACTGATCCAGACGTTCTTGCCTCAGAACCAGATAATTGCAGCCAGTGCAGTCGGGCCGAGATTCTGGTTAGAATATGCGCTCAACGTGTGACACCTGGGGCGGTCCACCCCACCGCCTCCTTCTTCACCCCTGCCTGAAGCTGACACAGGGTTCAGAGGCGTGTTGAGGACTGCTGGTTTTGAGGGAACTTCAATATCCATGGCTCAGAATTTCATGGCTGCCTCTTAAGATAGTTCAGAAATTTCAGCTGGTGCAGAATTTGGTGACTTGGATTCTCCACTGGGGCAAGATGGTTGAGCATATTCTACCAATCCTGGCCCGACTGCACTGGCTGCCAATTATTTTCTGAGGCAGACGTCTGGATCATCCTTACATGCTGAAGGCTGAGAAGAACATGACTTCGGTTTGCCTCCCTTCTCATCATCTGAATTCATCAAAAATACAGTGGTACCTCTGGATGCAAACAGGATCCGTTCCAGAGCCCCGTTCGCATCCTGAAGAGAACTCAACCCGTGTCTGCATGTGTTCAGGTCGCAATTTGCCACTTCTGCGCATGACGTCATTTTGAGCGTCTGCGCATGTGCGAGTGGCAAAACCCAGAAGTAACACGTTCCGTTACTTCCAGGTAGCCGCGGACCACAACCCGAAAAACTCTCAACCTGAAGCAATTTTAACCCAAGGTATGGCTATACTTTCAGAGGTTTGGGAATGGGCAGGGGCGGAGGAAGGGGGGCGGTGGGGGCGGGACACCCCGGGTGTCACTACTGGGGGGTGACAAAATGGCAGGCGGCACTCATTGTGGGGCCTGCAGCGTGCCCAAGCCGCGTGTCTCTCTTGGGAGTGATGGATTGGCTTGACTGCCCGCAGGTTCCTCACTGCCCCAAACAGTCCGCCATCCGCCTCCCCCTCAGCTGTAGATCTCTGAGTGGGAGGAGGCAGGCAGGCTTCTCGGAGGCCCAGTGGAGCGCACTGCCCTGTGGGTGATTGGCCCCACCACTGGGCGCAGGGCATGTACGCTGCCCCAGGTGCCTGATTGGCTTGCTCCGCCGCTGGGAATGGGAAGACCTTCACTGTGCAGAACTGGTTATGCTACTGTCCACTTCTTTCGCCCTGTGATGCCTTTGAGGCTTTGCTTTATAGTACAGTGGGTGCCTCGCAAGACGAAATTAATCCGTTCCGCGAGTCTCTTCGTCTTGTGGTTTTTTCGTCTTGTGAAGCACGGCTATTAGCAGCTTAGCGGCTATTAGCGGCTTAGCGGCTATTAACGGCTTAGTGGCTTAGTGGCTTAGTGGCTTAGCGGCTATTAACGGCTTAGCGGCTATTAACGGCTTAGCGGCTTTAAGAAAAAAGGAAACAAACGTTTCGTCTTGCGAAGCAAGCCCATAGGGAAATTCGTCTTGCGGAACGACTCAAAAAACGGAAAACCCTTTCATCTAGCAAGTTTTTCGTCTTGCGAGGCATTCGTCTTGCGGGGCACCACTGTAATGAGTGCATCATCTTGCGTCAGAGATCATAAAGCCGGGATGTCATGACTCAACCGCAGGCCATCAGTCCTGGGGTTGGTGTGTATGATGCGATATGGCACCATACGGTGCAATCAGGAGTATGAAATGCAACGTTGCCAAATGAAATCATGTACACAATGTGGACTGGGTCGTTTATACATGACCATCTTTGTATCTCCTCAACAGGAGCCAGTCAACAAATTTTATTATCATTATTGGGTTCAGCACCTTGAAATTAGAAAAAGAGAAAGGCTGTTTCATTTCAGAGGCACTTTGTGAATTGTGAAATTTAGGAAGTTCCACTACTTTCTAACTAAGACAGGTTTTACTGCCTATGCAATTTTCTGAAGTCCATGAACCTGGCCTTTGAAGAGTTTATAAGTAAACTATGTTTTATTTTCCAAGCTTGTGGTCTCCTTGGGGAAGAAGGAAACTTTAGAAAGGTCCCCCCCCCCCATGGGGACATTTTGGAAATCACGGTAGAGAGCATATTTTAAAGGTCCAACATCTTATATTTCTATGCTTTACTTTGCTGCGTATTTTGTGATCTCGACTGGAGTTCTCTCACCAAAGAGTACTTGCCCCAAGCCTGGATCTCAGAATCCAGGAATTTTCCTTTTTATATAGTGCTATGAATTTCGGGTGTACACATAATAGGTTTTTTTTCCTCTTAGGCCAACAAAAGAGAAAACAGTACCACTTATGTGATTAGAATACCATTTATGAATATATTTCTGATCCAAATGATTCAAGTTTTCTTTCCAAATGGAATGGTTCACAATGGTAGTTGGTATTTGCATTGCAGGTGGCAGATTCCAGGACGATTGCTCCATCCCCATCCTCATGCAGACATCTTTCCCATGTTATGTTTGGCTTTCTGCATGGAATTGCAAAAGACAAGAGATCCCGTTATCACAGCAAGAGGTGGGGACCTTGGCCCATGGAGAAACCCACAAAGGTTGCAGATGTTTTTCTTTTGGTCCCTGCAGATGTTTTCAAATGATAATGTTCCTGTTCTCCAGGCCATAGGTGATAAACTGCCCTGAGACATGCGGGTATAGGGTGGTATATAAAATCAATTAATAATAATAATATCAGCAAATCAGCAGGAAGGTGTCAATGTCGGAATGAGTTGGATGCTGGAGGGGTCTGTGGCGCCTTCCATTCCCCTGTAGAAGCACAAACCAGCATGCTGAGAGGTGATGATGGGCAAAGCCAGTGCTTTTTTTCTGGGGGGACACAGGGGTACGCACACCCCTAAACATTTTGTGAATCTAACGGGACAAGCGACTAAACATTTTAAGGAAGCACCAGGGCTCTGGCAGGTTGCTGGAGCCTTCCTGCCTCCCTTGGAAACCCAGGTGGTGTTTGGGAAGGTGGCAGGAGGGCTCTTGGACCTATCAGAGCATCATAACGCCTCCCTCCCTAATCTGGGCTGAAGTTTCCTGGGCTTTGGGAAGGAGGCGCCAGGGGAACATTTAGGGGACCAACCTTGTTCCCCTAATCCACTGCCCATACACCACGGCCAAGATCATTTCGTATGAATCAAACAGGCTCCCTGTTTGAATCAAACAGGTTTATCTCCCTGTCAGAGAACATGGTCTGCATATACAAGGTCCCAGGTCTAAACCAGCTAAAATTATCAGTGTTCATGGAGACTTTTGCCTGAGGCCTGGGTCTACCTTTGAAGGTGACCCGGAAATTACAACTAATCCAGAATGCGGCAGCTAGACTGATGACTGGGAGTGGCTGCCGAGACCATATAACACCGGTCCTGAAATACCTACATTGGATCCCAGTATGTTTCCAAGCACAATTCAAAGTGTTGGTGCTGACCTTTAAAGCCCTAAACAGCCTCGGTCCAGTATACCTGAAGGAGTGTCTCCACCCCCATCGTTCAGCCCGGACAATGAGGTCCAGCACCGATGGCCTTCTGGCGGTTCCCTTACTGCGAGAAGTGAAGTTACAGGGAACCAGGCAGAGGGCCTTCTCGGTAGTGGCACCCGCCCTGTGGAACGCCCTCCCATCAGATGTCAAGGAAATAAACAACTATCTAACTTTTAGAAGACATCTGAAGGCAGCCCTGTTTAGGAAACTTTCTAATGTCTGATGTTTTATCATGTTTTTAATATTCTGTTGGGAGCTGCCCAGAGTGGCTAGGGAGACCTGGCCTGACGGGCGGGGTATAAGTACTATTATTATTATTATTATTATTATTATTATTACACATCTTGTATTTCAAGGATATTTAAAGCACGCTAAAGAATCCTGGGAACTGAGGTTTGTTTCAGAGTGCGTGGAGTTGTAGCTCTGAGAAGAGACCACAATTCCCAGGATCCTCTGGGGTGGGTTACGCATCTGGGATCTCCCCAAGGGAGGGGTATCGCCTTTCAGTTGTGACCTGAAACCCTTTTAAATGTGCTTTAAGGTATGGTGTCCTGTATATGACCCTGCAGAGCTGGAGTCAAATCAGAGTAGGGTGCTTCTTCCTTGGGGACTCACAGCACAACCTTAGATGTGTCTACTCATGAGTAAACACCACTGAATTCCATAAAGCTTATGACCTCCCAGGTAAGTGTGCAGAGGACTAATTATCGTACCTTTTTCGGATCTTCTTATGCACAGATCTCTGTGGATGATAAGAAATGCGGTTAATGAGTGAGCAAGATGTGGGATTGGGTCCAGGGCACAGAACAAGATCAGGATTATTATTACCGGTATTTTGTTCCATAGCCAACAATAGACTGGCTGTCAGATATCAGTAGGGTTTTCTCTTTTTTAAAGGATCCATAATGCTTATCTACATGTGGGGGAAACCTTCTCTTGATAAAACCTCAAGGGCCGCTTTTCTCCACATGAACCAACCTGGATCCTGCAATCATCATGTTAGGCCTTTCTTCATGTGCTTCTTCCACAAAAGGTCTGGAAGGTGGCAACACAAGAACGGACCTTTTCTGCAGTGGCTCCCCATTTTGCAGGCATTCTCCCCAGGGAGGATCGCCTGGAACCACCGTTATATCTATTTAGGCACTGGGCAAAAATGTTCCCCTTCAGCCAGGACTTTGGCTGATGAACAGTCTATGTCCTTTTACATGTGTTTGTGGGAGGGATGGCTTATGGCAGGGTCAGCAAGGTTTATCGTGCCTGGGCTGGATCGGTCCCATGGAGTTCTCTCTGTGGGTTGGATTCTGCACGCACGTGAGCGGGCACACCCATGATTTTCAGCGTCTGCATCTGCGCAGATGTGATTTCCGGCATCTGCGCGTGCGCAGATGCGATTTACAGCACCGTGGAAGTGAGTCCCAGTTTAGCGAGTGGGCAGCTTGGTTCGGGGGTGGCTCGTGGGCCGGTCAAACAACCTCCACGGGCTGCTTCTGGCCCATGGGCCTTAGGTTTCTGACCCCTGGCTTATGGGTTTGTTTTGTTATTGTTCTCCTTTTTATTGGACCACTTTGACCGGATATTCCCAGCCGATGTGGACAGACTCCTCCGAGCTGGAAAGCCACCACTTGTTCTCTCGACCCGTGCCCGTCCTGGCTGATTAGAGCGCATAGGCGCCGACTCCATGGGGCCTGAGGGGGCTCGAGCCCCCTCAAAAAATTTTTGGGGTGGCTCAGCCCCCCCAATAATCTCGGGCGCCCTTCCAGCAGAGCGCCGCCGCCGTCCCCCGCCTCCTCCCCACCTGCTCCCTCGCCAGCCAGCCAGCCAGCCGCGCGCCCTAGTCAGAGAGCCCCGGCCGTCCCCCGCGAGATTAGGGAATCCCCGGGGGCGGGGTCTCCTGCCTCGCTGCTTCGCAGCACCACCGCCACTGCCAAGGCACTGCAGGGGAAATTTCCTTCCTCCTGGCCCCCGCGAGAACAGGGGAATCCCGACTGGCCACACCTCCCAGCCAGCCGATTGGCTGGCTGGGGGGCGTGGCTTGCCCTATTTAGGGCCGGAGCCACTTTATTTGCATATTCATGAGCTTATTTATTATTCATGAGCTTTCCCGGGCCCCCCCAATATTTTTTATAAGTCCGCGTCCCTGTTAGAGCGTGTCCAGACGAGGTGCGGGCCCCCCTGGGGGATATCATCAATCTGTCCCTAGGCACCGGGACATTCCCAGGGGAACTGAAGGAGGCGGTGGTGCGTCCGCTCTTAAAGAAAACATCATTAGATCCCTTAGATCTATCCAATTACCGCCCGGTCTCGAATCTTCCATTCCTGGGTAAGGTGATTGAGAGAGCGGTTGCTGAACAGCTTGGTAGGTTTCTGGATGAAACATCTGCTCTGGATCCATTCCAGTCCGGCTTCCGCGCTGGTCATGGGACCGAGACGGCTCTGGTCGCCCTAACAGATGATCTCCGCAGGCAGCTGGATCGAGGTGGGTCGGGGCTGCTGATTCTTCTAGATCTGTCAGCAGCCTTTGACATGGTCGATCATGAACTCCTGGACCACCGCCTTGCCGACGTGGGGATCCAGGGCACAGTCCTTCAATGGCTGCGCTCGTTTCTCTCTGGTCGGGGACAGAGGGTGGCGCTTGGGGGGGAATTGTCATCGCGCCACTCCTTGGTGTGTGGAGTGCCTCAGGGTGCGATTCTCTCCCCGATGCTTTTTAACATCTTTATGCGCCCCCTCGCCCAGCTTGTCCGGAGTTTTGGGCTGGGTTGCCATCAATATGCTGATGACACCCAACTCTATCTGTTGATGGATGGCCATCCTGACTCGGCCCCAGACACACTGACCAGATGCCTGGAAGCTGTGGCTGGATGGTTACGTGGGAGCCGGTTGAAGTTAAATCCTGCGAAGACAGAGGTCCTCTGGCTGGGGCGGGACGACATGGGATCGGGGGGACAACTCCCATCTCTTGCGGGGGTGCAATTGGTGCCAGCACCGTCCGTTAAGAGTCTGGGTGTAATCTTCGATACCTCCCTCTCTATGGAGGCGCAGATTACAGCTATAACAAAGGCGGCATTCTTTCATCTCCGCCAAGCTAAGCAGTTGGCCCCTTACCTCTCTCGCCCTGACCTAGCCACTGTGATCCATGCGACGGTCACCTCCAGACTGGATTATTGTAACTCGCTCTACGTGGGGCTGCCCTTGAGACTGACCCAGAAACTCCAGCGGGTACAGAATGCCGCAGCGAGACTCCTTACGGGGTCCTCGCTGCGAGATCACATTCACCCGGTGCTATACCACCTGCACTGGCTCCCGGTGGAGTATAGGATCAAGTTTAAGGTGCTGGTTTTAACCTTTAAAGCCCTATACGGCCTAGGACCCTCGTACCTACGGGACCGCCTCTCCTGGTATGCCCCACAGAGAAACCTACGGTCTGTAAATAAAAACATTCTCAAGGTCCCAGGCCTCAGAGAGGTTAGGCTGGCCTTAACTAGAGCCAGGGCCTTCTCGGCTGCGGCTCCAATCTGGTGGAATGCTCTGTCACAAGAGACCAGGGCCCTGCGGGACCTGACATCTTTCCGCAGGGCCTGCAAGACAGAGTTGTTCCACCAGGCCTTTGGTCAGGGCGCAGCCTGACTCCCTCCTCCGGCAACCTGCACAGTACTTTGGTTGCCATCAATTTGATTTTAATTAATTTAATTAATTTTATAATGAAATATTTTAGAATGTGTGATTATTCAACTATTGGTTATTTGATTGTTGTTAGCCGCCCTGAGCCCAGCTTCGGCTGGGGAGGGCGGGATATAAATAAAATTTATTATTATTTTATTATTATTATTATGTATTTTTATGTTTTTATATTGTATTTTTATACAGTGGTACCTTGGGTTAAGAACTTAATTCGTTCTGGAGGTCTGTTCTTAACCTGAAACTGTTCTTAACCTGAGGTACCGCTTTAGCTAATGCGGCCTCCCGCTGCTGCCGTGTGATTTCTGTTCTCATCCTGAAGCAAAGTTCTTAACCAGAGGTACTATTTCTGGGTTAGCGGAGTCTGTAACCTGAAGCGTCTATAACCTGAGGTACCACTGTACTGCGAACTGTCCCGAGATCTTCAAATTTAATAAATCCTAATAATGTAAGAAAGTACTTCCTGATGTTTAGTTGGAACCCCCTGTCTTCTAATTTGAATCCACTGGTTCAGAAGCTAGCCTCCAGAGCACGAGAAATCAAGCGAGCTCCATCTTCCATGTGACAGCCCAGGAGACATTTGAAGAGGACTATCCCATCCTCTCTCAATCTCCTCTGCTCCAGGCTAAACACCACCCAACTCCCTCAACTGTTCCTTATCAGGCTTCATATCCATATTCTAATAATACCTGGTGATCTCTAGAGTCCAAGCGGCTAGCATCATCATCACCATACCTTCAAACCAGGATGGAGAAAATCTTAAGCATTAATTGCCCTTACCATTTTCGGATACATAGAAGATTGCCTCTGGATCAAGTTGCATATCTTTGGCCAAAGTTTTAAATTTTTCTTTCACTTCATCTGACACAGTCTTTTCCCTGCCTTAAGACACAAACAAGGAGTTGGCATTGAGAATCAGCATCATAGTGCAGGAGGATAGATCATAGAATGGTACAGTTGGGGTCATCTAGTCCCCTGCAATGCAGGAATCTCAGATAAAGGATCCATGACAGATGGCCACCCAAACTCTGCTCAAAAACTTCTAAGGAAGGAGAGTCCACAACCTCCTGAGGGAGTCTGTTCCACTGCCGAACAGCTCTCACTGTCAGAAAATACCGTATTTTTCGCTCTATAAGACGCACCAGACCACAAGATGCACCTAGTTTTTGGAGGAGGAAAACAAGAAAATAAGTATTCTGAATCTCAGAAGCCAGAACAGCAAGAGGGATCACTGTGCAGTGAAAGCAGCAATCCCTCTTGCTGTTCTGGCTTCTGGGATAGCTGCGCAGCCTGCATTCACTCCATAACACACACACACACATTTCCCCTTACTTTTTAGGAGGGAAAAAGTGAGTCTTATGGAGCGAAAAATACGGTACTTCCGGATGTTTAGTCCGAATCTCTTTTCTTGTAACTTGAAGCCATTGTTTTTGAGAACTACCCTCCACAGCAGGACAAAACAAGCGTGCTCCCTCTTCCATGTGACAGCCCTTAAGATATTTGAATATGACTATCATCTCTCAGTCTCCTCTTTACCAGGCTAAAGATACCCAGCTCCTTCAACCATTCCTCGTAAGGCTTGGTTTTCAAACCCTTGATCACCTTGGTTGCCCTCCTCTGCACACATTTCAGCTTGTCAATATCCTCCTTAAATTGTGGCACCCAGAACTGGACACTGTATTCCAGGTGTGGTTGGACCAAGGCAGAATGGAGTGGTCCTGTGACTTCTTTAGATCTGGACACAATACTTCTGCTGATGTAGCTGAGATTTGCATTAGCTCTTTTTTTGCTGCTGCATCACGCTGTTAAGTATCTTAACAAATCCATCTTGCCTGACTCCTTCCCTTCCCCTTTTTTTAAAAGAATAGCTTCAGAAGGAGGAGGTTTGAAATGAAAAACCAAAAGCCTGGGCAGTGTTCCTTCTCCATTCTGAATTGTCCCATCCTGATGCAACCTTCAGGGGTTTGTGAGGCACATTTGCACAGAGCATGCCAACCAGCACTTTAAGCTACTCTGCCTCGCAGGGTTGTCGTGGGGACGAAAATTTGAATTGCCAATAAAGGTAAAGGCACCCCTGACCATTAGGTCCAGTCACAGACGACTCTGAGGTTGCGGCGCTCATCTCGCATTATTGGCCGAGGGAGCCGGCGTACAGCTTCTGGGTCAAGTGGCCAGTATGACTAAGCCGCTTCTGGCGAACCAGAGCAGCGCACAGAAATGCTGTTTACCTTCCCACTGGAGCGGTACCTATTTATCTACTTGTGCTGCATGCTTTTGAACTGCTAGGTTGGCAGGAGCTGGGACTGAGCAACAGGAGCTCAGCCTGTCGCGGGGATTCGAACCACTGACCTTCTGATCGGCAAGCCGTAGGCTCTGTGGTTTAAATTGCCAGTAGATGGTGGCAAATTTGTTGTTGACATTTTATCAAGATGCTCAAAGTATTCTGACAAATCGAGGACTTCCGGGTTGACGCGATCTGGAAATGGCGGATTCCCTCCGAGCTCCGGAGGGAACCGGCTCCACTGAGGATGGGTCTTTGCCGCGCCGGCGACGCGGGAACCCTTAAAAACCGCAGGCGCGGAAGCCTGCGGACTGAAGACTCGGCGGGTGTCTTAAGCGCCCCCCCTGATTCGCAAAGAGCCTTTTTAAAGGCTGCGGAGGGGATACGGGGGTGGCGTGGCACTGAGAGTCGATCGCTACCTCGGTGGAGTGAAGCCGCGAGCCAGGACCAGAGAGCGCTGACTTTCTTCCTTGAAAATTTGGACTGAAAGAATTACCCGTGAGTAAGACCGATTGGGACTATATAAAAATTTTACCTTGAATTGGAGACGATCGGGGGGTGTGCTAAAAGGAAGTCCGCACCCCCCTCTTGCAGACGACCTAAGCAACGGCATAAGAGCTAAGCTGGAGAGCCTACCCCTGGTGGGGTGAGTTAAAAAGGACATTAACTTCTAAGATTTAACTAAAGGAAATTTTGGGTTGGAGAGTGGAGTTTTGGGAACTTTCTTTTTGCTTCAAACAACCCCCCCTCCCGGGCCCGGGAACGTCCTGCCTCGGTGCCTGTGTAAGAGCTGCGGAGTTTGACAGCTGTCAAAGCTGCCAAACGGTCGGTTTAAAGTGCAAAAATTGTCATCTCTTGACTAAGACGAGTTACAATTGAGCTAAAATCGTTGGAAACAAAGTAATAATAATCAGTGAAAGGATTGTTGGTGAAAAGGCTAATAAGTAACCAGATTCCCCCTAGGGGGAATTCTGTGAAACTACAATGGATACAATGGCTGTGGAAGGAAAGTTACTGGTGGAAATTGAAAGGATGTTTCAATTGGTGGGAACTTTACAAGAGCAGAGCTTGGCCATGAATAAACAGCTTGAGACTATGACCTTGGGAACAGGCAACTCTGCTCTTTGTATTGAGGACCTCAACGAGAAAGAATTCACAGCTGAATGGGAAACAATACCTACAGAGTTGGAAGAGACTAAACAACAAGAAAAAGAAGAAGTAATCCTGGGAAGTAACAACCAAAAGTTGACATCTGCGGAACATAAGCAAGGTAACGCTGGGAACATATCTACTACAAGTCTGCGAAAGATACAGAAGAAGAAGAAGGAGGTCCCGGGACAAAATGGAACACAGAAATTTAAAATAAAGAAATATGCTTGGGGCCTCCGTTTGGACTTTGATCTTGAAGAGATAGGCTTTGTGGAAATTCTTCAGCAGTTACTTTCGAACCCCCTTGTGGGAAGAGGAAACACTTTGATGGTGAAAGAACTTTTCCCAGACTTGATGACTGACATAAAGGACTACCAACGGGACAGGCGGAGAGGGACTGAAAGGGATTTGAAAGCCTCGGACGTGAGGAACCCAGGCTGAGAAATTCGAATTTGGATTTGTATTGGGAAGGGACAAAAACCGGGGATGGGAGGGAGGGAAGAAGAGACTCTTAAAAACTCTTAAGACTTCTAGGTTTGGTTACTATGACTCTTAATTAAGATAAAATCGAAAATCGATGGAAGAGAACTTAAGTCCAACTTAGGAAAATTAATTTTTATTATAAAATAAGGTGATGAATAACATTGTTAAGAGGAGAAATACCAACTTGCTGATATAATCTTGAAACTGGGATGCACGAGGGGAGGTGGGGGGAAGTCAGGGAACAAGTTCATGAAACGGGGATTGGTTGATTTTATACATGTTTTTGTCTTTGTCTTTTCTTTGTGTATGTTTTGTCTTTATAAAACCAGAAAACCAAATAAAAATTTTATTAAAAAAAAAAAACAAAGTATTCTGACAAATCTAGTGGTGGGGGTGGGGAGTGGATTACTCTATTGGCAATTAGTGGTGGTATTTACATCTCCTTAGACAAACTGGGAGGAAGGGCAAAATTTTCAAAAGATGGGCACAACAGGTGTGCCCATCATAACCTACGGCACCCAAACAAGCTCCCACGGGCCAGTCTCCAGACATACCAAAGAGCTGTAGCTCGCCTGAACGCACTGTTCTGAAGAGGACGGTATGGTAAGTCTCATAATCTGTATCCACGATGTGTACCTTTGTCCACCCATCTATTGAAAAAGAGCCGCAAAAGATCCATTAACAGGCATGGGAGTCACTTCCACAGATGCAAAAGAAAGGTGTGTGTGGGGGGGGTTAGAGAAAGCACTTTTTCACTCAGCCCATAGTTAAACTATGGAACTCACTGCCCCAAGAGAGATTTGTGGAGGAGGAGAGGGCTATCAATGGCTCTGCCTCCACAGTTGGAGGAAGAAATTCTTCTGAATACCTGTTGCTGGAAACCACAGGAGGGGAGAGTTAATTAAGGAAACATTACTGCAGTTTGGAGACAGAGGAAATACCTACATTGGCTCCCAGTACGTTTCCAAGCACAATTCAAAGTGTTGGTGCTGACCTTTAAAGCCCTAAACGGCCTCAGTCCAGTATATCTGAAGGAGCGTCTCCACCCCCATTGTTCAGCCCGGACACTGAGATCCAGCTCTGAGGGCCTTCTGGCGGTTCCCTCACTGCGGGAAGTGGGGTTACAGGGAACCAGGCAGAGGGCCTTCTCGGTAGTGGCACACGCCCTGTGGAACGCCCTCCCATCAGATGTCAAGGAAATAAACAACTCTCTGACTTTTAGAAGGCATCTGAAGGCAGCCTTGTTTAGGGAAGTTTTTCATATTTGATGTTGCCGCTTTTTTACTATTAATATTCTGTTGGGAGCCGCCCAGAGTGGTTGGGGAAACCCGACCAGATGGGCGGGGTATACATAATTGAGAGAAGCCAAATATTCCATTCAGGCCCTTCTAGCTCTCAGGAGAAACCCATCTATCTCAATCCAGAAAGGAAGAGAAGTCTGCTTCCGTTTCTGGTAGCGAACTTGGAAAGTTGCTCTCCCAGGTTCGCTGGAGCTTGAGGGCAGGGGTGGGGGGGGTGGCTTGGATGGAGATAATGGAGAAATCTATTATACTTACCTACACTATCGAATTCGGCCTGCTTTACAGGGTGTACACGAACTGTTTTACTCAGACATTCTCCATCCCTGGAAAGAAAGGCAGTGTTGTGAAGTTGCTACCCCCCCCCCATTCAGCACGCCCCCCCCCCAATCTCAGCACAAGATTTCAAAGGGGTTCCAGCTGCTCAGCCAGGGCCGTGTTTCCTCTGAGAATCACGCTGTATTGCCTTTAAGAAATATGGTGTAATTACACATATTTACACCTGAGTTTAGCTTGAATGACCTTTATTACGGTCACAGACCAGGATTAAAAAAGCATATAGATAAAATAGCAGTTAGGATTTTTTGACCGATAATTGTTAGGGCAAATGAGGACAAGGAAACAGGCATAAAACATCCTAATAAAATACAAGATTAAACACAGATAATGGATGGATAAAAAACTAATAATTAAAACAGATAAGAGCTAGAAACCAACAAAGACACACAGTTAAAACAACTGTAAGAGCATAAGAGCTAAAAGAGTCGCAGATAAAACAACTATAAGAGGCCGCAGAGTAGAAGCCTCTTAACTAGAGTTTAGATGGAGTTAAAATGAGTTTAGATGGAGGAGTTGCAAATCTGACCACACCGTCATCTCAGGAGGAGGCTTGTTCCCCACAGTGGGCAGCACTGGAATCCAAGGCATCCTCTATGCCTCTGTCCCAGCCTGCCAAGATGGCCCTGACCTTTGACTCCTTCCCCTTCCCAGCACCCCCCCCAAAAAAGAACAATTTTTTCTGTGACATTATTCCCATCAGCAGCTTGGAGTTGGCCAGTCCTGGAGTTCTGGGGGGGCCATTGCCCAGTTTCAGAAGAAGAGGGAGCAACTGGAAGCTGCCCAATAGACATTCAGAATCTCAGCTGATGTAACTGACTTTCGGGGACCAGGGATACAGCTAAGGCTGGACCTCAGACAAAATGACCGCTCCCCACATTAACTGGGGGGTGGCTTTTGCGTGGTTGGGCACAGTGCCCCCCCCAGGACTACAGTGGTACCTCAGGTTACATACCCTTCAGGTTACATACGCTTCAGGTTACAGACTCTGCTAAACCAGAAATAGTGCTTCAGGTTAAGAACTTTGCTTCAGGATGAGAACAGAAATTGTGTGGCGGCGGCGCAACAGCAGCAGGAGGTCCCATTAGTTAAAGTGGTGCTTCAGGTTAAGAACAGTTTCAGGTTAAGAATGGACCTCCGGAATGAATTAAGTACATAACCAGAGGTACCACTGTACTAGACCCCCGGCAAGGTAGTTGGCTTCACCGCTCCCCCCCCCAAGCTGGATACCTGGAGGTTCCTGCCTAGCCTCGTCAATCAGCCAATCCTGGCTGGGGGGGGCACGTTGCCAAGGGAATTGCCCAGGTATAGTTAGGACCGCCCACACTCACAATAGAGGGTGTAACTTACCTGTTGGTCCTCCTGAACTTCCCACCCTGCCCTCCCTCAATTTATGCCTTATTTTGCAGTTTAATCTCCTTCTTTACAGATATGCAGGCACTGCTGCGGTCCTAGATGGTCACCGTTGAGGGACCGGGAAGGAATTCCCCTGCATTGGCAGGTTTCGCCTTCCCCGTAGCAAAACGTCACAACTTTGTATGCCTTGGGCGGAATCCTTTAGTCTATCTTCCCTCAATTGAGGGTGGAGGCGTGAAGCGGTGACCCACGCCCCCCCCCCCGCGCCGGAAATTCCAGGGTTCCCCGTTAAAGGAGTTATTTTGAGGGGAGGCACTGGCCATAGGCCAATGGGTTGTCAGTGCTCTCCCCTACGATGCGGCGAAATGGGGGTGGGGGGTGGGCTCTCTGCTTGAACAGACGTTCTCCAGAGTCAGCCCAATCCCCACACACTTTGGATAACCCTGATGTTCCCCAGATCCCCGGCTGGGGACTGGGAGGGATAAACGCCCAATGCCTAAGCCAAGGTCTTCCTACATCTGAGAATTTAATAAAATTGTAGCCAATTTTAATCCCATAACATGTTGTCAGGTGTCATTATTCCTCCCGGGGGATGCCTGGGGCTTGGGGGGGGGGTCTCTGCCTGTCCAGGTAAAGTCCTGGGTATACGAGCTAGCCTCCCTGCTGAAAGAGGCTGGGGTGGGTGGGCAACAGGCCCGAGCCTCAGGACCCTTCCCCTTATTCTGTGGTGCGTGAAGGGAGATCATGATCACAGCAACGGAAGCAGACTTACCATGGATAAGAAACTTTGAAGACCAGTCCTCCATCCTCTTGGGGCTCCACTGAATAGCCAAAGAGTGGTCTCTTTTGTTTGTTATACTGTACCATTGCAATAGGAAACCACTTACCGCTGAGCTACAAAGAAGATGTTTGTTTGTGTGTTACTGTTTTTGTGTTGTTGAGAAAGACATTTCTATATATATTGTAGGCTGGTAGCTAAAGTGGCGTAGTGGTCTCAGGCTTTCCACTCTGGGCCACACTTTCAGAATGGAAATTTGCTCAAGCCACATCAAGGTTTGTTTTTTTTAATTGATAAGAAATACATCGCAAAACAAAAAGAAGCAACTCCTAGCAGTGCTTGATTAATAACACAGAACACAACTGCTTTATAAGTACAGTAGCACCTTGGTTCTTGAACTTAATCTGTTCCTGGAGTCTGTTTGACTCCCGAAACTGTTCGAAAACCAAGGTGCAGCTTCTGATTGGCTGCAGGTGCGGCTGCAGATGCGGCTTCTGATTGGTCAAGTGGAAGCCGTGTCAGACGTTCGGCTTCCGAAAAAAGTTCACAAATCGGAACACTTATTTCTGGGTTTGCAGCATTCGGGAGCTAAAGCCTATGAGTACCAAGGCGTTCAAGAACTAAGGTACACCGTATAAAACAATGCTACATACGAACATGACTCATTCCCAAAATATTGTTAGAGAAGTTGGGTGCCACCCTACACTCGGCCGAGCAGGTTCCAGGCACTCACCTAGGGTTTGTGCTCCTTAGGAGAACTGAACACACTGCGAAAATATGATTTATTCACATATTTACTCCTTCAGTCCGCATGGAGGGAGTCCAGATCTTACAGAATGGTCATTTCAAGAGGGGCTTGTGCCCCACAGGGGTGCAGCCTTGGAGTATAAGTCATTTCTCCTAGCCAGCCTTCTCAAGATGGATTCCACTCTTTCTTCTTCCTTCTTCTTCCCAGAAAACCCTGCTAAAAACTCTCTTTTCCTGTCACCTCACACCCAGTTACCCTAGCAACATTCCAAACCCCCAGTCTCTGTTCACACCTCAGGGCAAGGCAGGAGGACATCTCCAATGACTCTCAATGGCCCTGATATGTTTCTTAATGGCCTTGGCTTGGCCAGGTCGTTTTGCATAGGCTAGCTCAAGAATCTCTTTACAGTTTGTAGTTCTCCCTTCACATCCCAAATAATCAAAATCCCATCATTTATTAGTTTCTAGGGTTTGGGAGGGGTGTCCCCCAATCTATAACAATATAATTACAAACAAGTAAAAAGGTAAAGGTACCCCTGCCCGTACGGGCCAGTCTTGACAGACTCTAGGGTTGTGCGCTCATCTCACTCTAGAGGCCGGGAGCCAGCGCTGTCCGCAGACACTTCCGTGTCACGTGGCCAGCGTGACGAAGCTGCTCCAGTGAGCCGGCACCAGAGCAGCACACGGAACACCGTTTACCTTCCCGCTAGAAAGCGGTACCTATTTATCTACTTGCACTTAATTGTGCTTTCAAACTGCTAGGTGGGCAGGAGCTGGGACTGAAAGACGGGAGCTCACACTGCCACGGGGATTCGAACCGCCGACCATGCGATCGGCAAGTCCTAGGCGCTGAGGTTTTACCCACAGCGCCACCCGCGTCCCTTACAAACAATTACAAACAAGCCTCTTACATATGTACCTTGCATATGTTTACAAACTCAATGAGAGATGTGAGCTTGCATTTGTTTGGTAATCTCATTTTTATTAGGTGTAACATGAGACAAACAAACTCTTATCTCGTCAAGTCAAAGAAGCACTTCTTTTTTCTGAACTTTCGTATTTGTCAGAGTTGAAAATGTCAGTGTTTCTTAGTAAAAACAAAAAAATTCCTTCCAGTATTTTTTTCATTTTTTGTTTTTTTGTTTTGACTATGGCAGACCAACACGGCTACCTATCTGTTTCTTAGTAAAGAAAGTATTGATCTGATGTGTAGAGATCTTTCCTATTCTGATTAGTTCAAGAGGGTTCTAGAAGGTTCCTTCTCTTTGTGAAAGAAACCGGCAGAAGGTTTTTGTTTGGCTTATTCCTTCAGAGAAGCTGAGTGCAGCTGGTTGAAACTGGTTCTGTTATCCTTTTGTCAAGATAATACTGACTATAATAGTAAGACCAGGAGGAGCCTGTGCTTCACTCGTTTTCTCTTTTCCATCTGTTTAGTACAGTATGGTGTTCTGTATGCTGTAGTGTTAAGGTTTAGACTTATTATAAGTTAGTAAGTTTTATTTTAAGTACTGCAACTGGATTTTTTTAATGGACTGTGCCAATCCTGAATGTTCTGGATTTGTGACTGTTATGCTTATTTTCCTTCAGCACCAGTAAAGCTCTGCTGGATGAAGTACGATTGCCTCTGGTCTATTTTTTGGAAACTTTGCTATGTTTTTAAGTGTTTTCCTCCTCCGGTGCTGGCGCAACAGAAAAAATATATTTTGGAGAACTATAGAGTAGCCAAAACTCTTGAAGAGAGGTGTGGATACTGTTTCTGGTTTTATATTCTCTCTCTCTCACTCTCTCTCTCCCACACAAACACCACACTGAAATGTTTCTTTACCGGTCCTTGATTCTTCCCGCTATTGCCATCCCCTCCTGCCACACCAGCGTGGCACAACACAGCCTTGGAGAACCACTGGGTTGGGGCATGCGAGAGACCAGGATTCAAATTCCTGTTCAGCCATGAAGCTCACCGTCACTGCCTCTCAGCCGAATCTACCTCATAGGGTTGTTGTGGGGATTAAATGGGGAAGGGGAGAACCAGGTACATCACCTTGTGCTCCGTGGAGAAACAGGTGGGTTATAAAGAGGGCACAGTCAGCTTGCAAAGTCTGTAAGCAGGTGAACAAGGCTAAATTGGTCACCATCCCTAGTTATAAGTGAAGGAGAAAAATGTTGCTGTTTACCTTCTTTAGATCCAAGTCTGGCACCATCGGAATGGGTACAGGAACCTTGTACTTAGAAAATGCTGAGCAAGTGCCAGCAAACACAATAGTAATCAGCACAATGTTCATCCTTGCAAGGCTTTGCAGTAGTTCAGGAACGTTTGAGACTTCTGCAGAGACCTTGGCTCTTCAAGCAATGCCTGGATTTATATCCCTTTGCTTATGTCCCCAAATTTCATCTAAGCCAGTACAGCCCTGCCATTAAAAGAGGTTGTGGGGTGTTTGAGAGAGAGAACCAGGTGAGTTTCAGAACTAATTGTTATCCGTGGTGAGTACATTTTCTAAGAACCCGAGAACACTCTGCCCTTCGATGCTTGTTCTGAAGGACTCCAAGGCCTGTGGGTTAGTTAGTTGTGGGTGGTGGTTTATGGTGAACTTCACCACCAACGGAGGCCTGGGCTATGATCAAAAGGAGCTGAGAGCCAGTTGTAACTAATGTTAGAATAAGGTTTGTACCTCCAGACCACATTCCTCACCTGGAACATCCCTGGAGGAGGCAT